GGTGAGGACCCACTCAGGTGGAGGGTCGTTCAAGAAGCCAGGGGAGCCCTAGCCGATTGGCTCGGTGAATAGAGCGTCAGCCTGCGGAACAAAGGGTCCCGGGTTCGATTCCGGTCAAGGTCATGTACTGCAGTTGCAGGCCCCTCCCCAGGCTGGGCCCTGGTCCGGGCTCGTGTTTCTCTCACATCGATGTTTCTCTCTGTCTTTCCCTCTCTCTTCCACTCTCTCTAAAAATCAATGGGAAAATATCCTCGGGTGAGGATTTAAAAAAAGAAAAAGAAAAAGAACCCAGGGGAGAAAAGAGTTGAGCTCACAGAGGTTAAACACCCATGTCCTCCAGGCAGCCCCACTGACCAGCGTCCCCTAAGGAGGCCGGCTGTCCCCCCCCCCCCCCCCCCGAGAACCAGCTGCCTCTTTAAGGCCCGTCTCCGCCCTCAGGACTGGCTTGGCAGCTCCTGTAACCGCACCAACCTGTCCTGTCAAGCCTGAAATCGAATCACAAGAACTTCCCAAGCCATCAGCAGATGAGCGGCCGATGAGCCGCTGCAGGGGCTGCTCTGCACGCTCCCGTTTCACAGTCGCCACGACACCTGCGCCTCCCGGCTCCCCTTACCCGCGGAGCCACTGCCAGCTTCCCCGTTGCTAGGCTTCCCAGTTCATCAGAGATGCCAGAGTCGGCAGAGCCGGAGGCTTGTTCCTGGTCTTCCGTGGACCCCTGATTAGGCCACTGAAGCTGAGACACTAAACGCAGTCTGTGCTGCTCCTGCAGGAGCAGCAAGTGGCAGCCACAATGGGAAGTAGCCGGGCATGGCAGGAGGTGGCACTTCTAAGGGGGCAGCAGAGCATCCCGGGGACATGCTGTTAGCTCCTTGGGGCAGGCGAGCCCTAGTCATCTCAATGCAAGTAGTTCATTTCAGGGGTTCCAGGAGGCAGCTACCACCCCGTCGTTGCCCTAATCTTAGGCGCATGATTACAGTCACCAATAGCTAACACATACCGCAGCTCAGAGCCAGCCTGTAGCCGGAAGGTGTGTGTACGGCTGGCTCTCTCCCCACTCCAGATGGTCCCGCCCCAGCCCTCCAGTGCCCGCTGCTGAGTTGGCCTGGAGACGGCCTTGTGCTTCTCCCAACCAGGGCCCGAGTCTGATTTTTCCACCCGAGCTGGCCGCCCAGGGTGCCAGGCTGTGGAATGTTGGCTCCAGAATGGACTCCGGCCTGTTGATTTTCCGCTGTTTCCTGGGAGGCCTGGCATGGGGCCTGGTGTTCCGGGTTTGGGGGCCGTGAGTTGGTCCACACGGGTGGGATCAAGGACTAGGGTGAGAGGAGGGACCGAGCCAGGATCCCCAGAAGGGTCAGGACTCAGAGCCGTGGCGGAGGGCTGGTGCTGCGGACGGCAGGCTGTGGGAAAGGGGGAAGAGCCGTTGCCTTAACCTTGGGCTAATAGTTAAGACGGAAGGTGGGGGTTGGGGGTCTGAGAGGGAAGTCAAGAGCTCAAAAGTTGGAGACAACATGGGTGGAGTACAGACGGGGATCCCTTCCGCCCTCTCTGGTCCCTGCTCCTCCTCTGATCCCTGCTCCTCAGCATGGAGGGACCTAAGGATGGTCCCATCCAATCCAGGCAAATGCTCACGGTCACCCCAATCCCTTCTGCAGCTGTTCAAACACAGTCCTCTTCTTGTCTGATGCCACTACTGTGTGTGCTTTGAAAAGGGATGGGGACCAGGAACATGGGGACCTGGTTAAGTACAGGAGGGGGCATCAGATGATGACATCTGAGGCAGCCAAATGGTGAGGAGCACTTTGCAATGCAGTGGAAAAAGTATATGCAGGCCCAGTCAGCATGAACCAGGAGGTTACTGTTTGATCCCGTTCAAGGGCACATGCCCGGGATGTGGGCTGGATCCCCAGTGCGGGGCATGTAGGAGGCAGCCGATCAATTCTCTCTCATCCTTGATGTTTCTATATCTCTCTCCCTCTCCCTTCCTCTCTGAAATCAATAAGAATATATTTTTTAAAAGAGTAATATGCAGAATTCTGCCTATAAGGCCTGAAAAGGCTCATCTCTTTGTCTAGATCAGTGATGGCGAACTTTTTGATCTCGGCGTGTCAGCATTTTGAAAAACGCTAACTTAACTCTGGTGCCGTGTCACATATAGAAATTTTTTGATATCTGCAACCATAGTAAAACAAAGACTTATATTTTTGATATTTATTTTATATATTTAAATGCCATTTAACAAAGAAAAATCAACCAAAAAAATGAGTTCGCGTGTCACCTCTGACACGCGTGTCATAGGTTCACCATCACTGGTCTAGATGGTGATATCGGGTTGCTTGTTGCAATCTGTTCTGCATGTTATACATGTTTAATGTTTTATAGACATCTTAACAAACAGACTAAAAGTATCTGTCACCTCCTGAGGACCTCCTGGGGGCCTCCCCCGCACTGGGGAGTGGAGTTAACAGGTGACCTGACAGGCCGCTCTCAGGGAGCGACAGGTAGGATGGGGCCTCCCCTCACAGGGGGCCTCCCTCCTGCGCTCTTGCAGACGAGGGGCTATGGGACATCCTCATCAAAGACATCCCCAAGGAGGTGACCTCCTACACGTTCAGCATGGACATCCTGAAGCCAGGCGTGAGCTACGACTTCCGGGTCATTGCAGTCAACGACTACGGCTTCGGCACCCCCAGCAGCCCCTCCCAGTCGGTGCCAGGTACCAACCAGCCTGTGGGTGAGGGGTGCAGGGGCTGGGCAGTGGGGAAAGAGGAGAGGCAGCAGAGCCCTGGGAGCGCTGGGGTGGGGCCCAAAATGCACTGTCCCCTCAGTGCCCCGAAGCAGCGAGCCCTGGGCCAGGGCCCAAGTCAGGGTTCAGCTTCGGAAGAAACTGGGGACGGACAGTGGCTCCTGTGGGTTCCTTTTCAAGGACTTCGAAGCCCTGGGCAGGGGGCCCAGCCGGCTTGTGGACGAATCAGTGGGCCCAACATGGGAGCTTCCTGAGCTCATCAGCCAGGAGATTCAAGGGCACCCGGCCATAAACTGTGTGTCTCCATAGAAACCGAGCCCCAAACAGACAGTCAGCAGCCCACAGAGCACACACAGACAGGCCTGGACCACCTGATTGAGCAGGGCCCCGGTGGGGTGGCCTGCTATCCTCCCCTTCTCCTCTCCCCGTTCTTCCCATCCGGCGTGTCTCAGCTCACAAGGGCCTCTACGACCAAAACCCATGACCCCAAAGCTAAGCGCTGACCACTTAATACCAAGGCCCCTTCCCCCAGGGCAGACATGTAACTCAGAGTTTCTACTCACCGGGGGAGTTTCCAACCCCCGCCGCCTCCCTCCTCCCACACACTCCCACCCTTGCCAGATTGACAGCACCGATCGTGGGAAATAAATAAATGCTTGAGGGCTGAAATAGGAGCCAGCCCCGCCTCGGGCAGCAGCGTGGATTAGACGGGCCGGGTACAGAAAGCAAGTTCTGGGGGCTTCAAAGAAGGGGAGCCCTCCCTGGAGAGGCATTTGAAAGACCCACCCATGTCCTCTCCCAACCACCCTGCTTTCTGCTACCAGAAAAAGATTCCGTCCCAACTGACCCTGGGGACAGACCCTCCCAGGCCCAGCACAGGCCAGACAAGCGCCTTTCCAACGCACAGTTGGCTCTGCCTGTCCAGGTAGGCTGCTGGCGGCAATGGAAAAGTAAAAGGAGCCCGGCCGGCGTGGCTCAGTGGTTGAGCTTCGACCTATGAACCAGGAGGTCATGGCTTGATTCCCGGTCGAGGCACATGCCTGGGTTGCAGGCTCAATCCCCAGTGTGAGGTGTGCAGGAGGCAGCCGATCAATGATTCTCTCTCATCATTGATGTTTCTATCTCTCTCTCCCTCTCCCTTCCTCTCTGAAATCAATAAAAAAAATATTTTTATATAAAAAAAGAAAAAATAGCAAACACACCTTCCCTCCTCCACTGCAGCCTGTGTCTCCAACAGACATTACTAATCAATCCCGGCACTGCTTCCTCGTGAGTCCAGAAGCAACCTCAGCACTCGAAACAGCCTCCAGGGAGCCCAGCTGATCAGAGCTGGCACTTGAGATGATTGCCCCTCCCAACGTTGTCGTAGGCTTGACCTCCTTCAGAGGGCACAGGCCCCGCCTACCCATAGACTGAGAGCAGGACGTAGGGACCCCACTGCACGGGAGGTTTGGAGGCAAGAGGGGCCGAGCACCCTGGCCCTGACGCCCCACCCGTGTTCCAGCCCAGAAAACCAACCCGTTCTACGAGGAGTGGTGGTTCCTGGTGGTCGTCGCCCTGGTCGGCCTCATCTTCATCCTGCTCCTGGTCTTCGTGCTCATCATCCGGGGCCAGAGCAAGAAGTACGCCAAGAAGACGGACTCAGGTGAGCCAGCACCCAGCCTGCCGGCGGGGCTGGGCCTTCCCGTGTCCGCCTCCCTTTCGCAGGGGCAGGTGGAGGTGTCTCTCCCGGAAGTGCATCTGCTCCCATGGGTGGGGCAGCCCGGGCTTCCTACCCAGTCTCGTCTCCTAGTCTGGTTTCAGCTCTAGCAAGAGACAGAGGGGGCAGCCGGCCAGGTGGGGAGAAGGGAGGCGGGGGAGGGGACGCTGCCCAGCGTGAAGAGATGGAGTGACCGAGCCATGCCAACCTGCCCCCCAGGGAACAGTGGCAAGGCTGGTGCCCTGGGCCATGGGGAGATGATGAGCTTGGATGAGAGCAGTTTCCCTGCCCTGGAACTCAACAACCGGCGCCTCTCCGTCAAGAACTCCTTCTGCCGGAAGAACGGCCTGTACACCAGGTAGCGGCCCTCTGCGTGGGGGACGGGAGGACGGGGGTTGGAGGGCCAGCAGTGCCCGGCTGGGGAGGGCCGCAGAGCAGGCAGTGCCCACCGGCCTCACCCTGCCCCAGAAACGGCTTTCCACCCCAGTGAGTGGAACGGTCAGCACAGGCAGGGGCCGGGGCCCGCAGCCCGGACGAGGACACACTGGCGAGAAAGGAGGTGGGGACACAGGGTTTCCGCCAATCACAGCAGGAGGCCAATAACTCGCACAGTTTTTGCGAACGGGGCCGACTGCCATCTGAAGCCAGCCGTTCCTGGCACAGCCCGAAGCCATGATACCCACTTGTCCCCAAGGGGAGACGGGCCCGGCCAAGGCTGGGCAGACCCACCTGAGTGAGAGGCCCCAGGAGCTCCCCACGATCGTGGACGCCCCACCTGCCCGCCCCCCAGGAAAGGAAAGACACCCCGAGTGTAGCCACGTCTCCCCTGGTCCTCCCGATGCCCGCTGTCATTGCAGAACACTTTCTCCCACCCCCCGCCCCCCAAGTCCACACTCTCAGCATCGCCCCCAAGGGCAGCATCTAAGAGCCCACCAGGAAGGACGAGGTTGGTGGCACGCCAGCTCTCTCCCCCACGTCCCTCCAACCCCAGGCCCTCCTACCGACTCCTGTGGCCGCGGGGCTGCCCATGGCCAAGGGCAGGGGCAGCTCACAAAACGTCTCTGTCTGGCCCCGGAGGGAAGAGGCGATGTGTGTGTTCCTCAGGGGGGTGGGGAGGGGGATGGGGTCGGAGTGCTGGCCAACGAGGCCCACGCTCACCCTCTGAGAAAGCCAGCTTTCCAAAGAAAGGGACATTTGAGGCCTCGGTGGCAGGCCCAGCATGGCCACCACAGTCTCGCCAGGCTGGCTCCAGGGCCCTGCCACACGGAACAAGGGCCGTCTCACCGCCGGCCTGGCCTGGCCTGCCTCTCGCACCCACAGTGTACACACGCCGCAGCCCTGCCTGTCCCTGCACCGCTGGGCCTGCACCGAATTCCCATCTGCACCAAACGAGCCCCAGGCTCCAGCCCGACCCAGCCCTGGGGACGTGCCAGCCCCCACTCACCTGCATGTCACGAGGGCAGCTGAGCCCGGCACCCTGGTCTCCCTCCTCCGTGCCGTGTGCTTGCCTGTCTTGCCTACATGAAGCCTCGGCTAGTGCTGTTCCTGCTTTATTTTTAGTGTAAAGACGCGCTCTGTCGATTGGAACAAAATCAGCGCAGAGACGGCACCAGAGGCCGGAGGGGCAGGGGGTTGCCTGTGGCATGTTCCCGGGTCGCGGGACTGTTCTGGGAGCAGCAGCGTTTCTGCAGCGTGCGGCGTCCGGCCCCTGTGCGGACAGCTGGGGCTCAGAGCCACAGTGCCAGAGCAGGCTGGGCAGAGGCTGGGGTGTCAGGCCCTGGGCAGTACCCCCTCGCACCCCGTCCTGAGGGCAGAGTGGTGGAGGACCCCAGGCCTGCCCACTCCTCACCCTCAGCCCACGTGGCCCAGGAGCCCGCAGCCCCGGCCTCCAGCCCGCAGGCCTCCGTGGCGGGAGGCGTGCCAGGCGTGTGTCCTCTGGTGACTCGCAGCCAGGCCTCTCCCTCACCCGGAAATGCACGACTCTCCCCAGGGCTGAGTTCTCAAAGGTGGGGCGGGACGTAGCCGTAGCCGGGAGCCACTGCGATCTCTGAGCCGATCTGAGGGAGGGAGGCGGTGCTTTCCTGGCTCTCTGACCCCAGTGCTGACTCTGAAGCTCACCTGTGCGTTTAGGACGTGCGTGGAGGGTTTGTTACAGTGCAGGTCGCAGGCCTCCCCTGAGAGTCCGATTCGGGAGGTCTCGGGGGCCTAGGGGCTGTGTCACATTCACTGCCCGGTGATGCTGAGGCCTGCGGGCCCTAGAAGCACAGGTGAAGGATCAAGGTGCGCCCCACCACCACCACCACCCCCCCCCCACACACACACACGCACACTTCTCTGGAGCTCATTCAAGAGCTCAGCCCAGCACCCTCAGCACCTGGGCCTCCCCCACCCCAGGCGGGGCCCCCAGCCCAAGTGCCACCTTCCAGGGCACAGGCCTGTGAAGAGCAGCACAGGAGCGCGAGGGATCCGAGGGCCTTCCTGCCTCCAGGCCTCTCAGGGCCTCCCCGGACCGGGGACCAGAGGAGGCTGCTCTGAGTGAGGCCACCTCTCAGCCCCCCACTCCCCTCTCTCTAGGTCTCCGCCCCGGCCTAGCCCGGGCAGCCTGCACTACTCCGATGAGGATGTCACCAAGTACAACGACCTCATCCAGGCCGAGAGCAGCAGCCTGACCGAGAAGCCCTCGGAAGTCTCCGACTCTCAGGTGAGGGGCCCTGGACGGGGGCAGAGCAGCCCCTCCCGAGAGCTGGCCTGCATGGCGGCCCGTGCGGGCCCAGCTCCTCCCCTTCGTGGGCCGTAGCGACAGGGGCCCCAGCAAGCGATGTGGAAGTCGGATACAGGCCAGCTGCCGCCTCCCAGGCTCTGCTCAGAGTTTGCACCCGGGGCTCATGGGGTCCCTGGAACCGTGATCCCGTGAGACACCCCGAGACCATGGTCCTCACACTCTCAGGAGGCACCACATGCTCAGTCACTCATTGGCTCGGGCTTGTCAAGGCCCGTGACAGCGAGGAGAGGGAGGTTGACACAGCAGCCCGTCTTGCCAGAGCCCAGAGAACCGATACACTGAGCTAGTCTGGGTCAGAATGAGCCCCAGAAATGGAAGGCTGGGTGCCCTGGAGCCCCACGGCTGGGAGGCAGCAGGGACTGGGACGGCATCAAAGCTTTGGAGGTTCAGACCTGAGTTTGAATCCTGGCTCTGCTGCTGGTGAGCTGGGGCGTCCTGGGTGCGGTAGGGAAGCTCTCTGAGCCTCAGTGTCTCCATCTGTAGAATGGGCAGGATAGCAGCAGGCTCTGGGGGGGCGGGGGCTGGGGGGAGGATTCGCTGAGATTAGGCAGAGAGAAGCTTAGCACAGGGCCTGGCATGCGGCAGCCGTTCATAGTGTCAGCTCACGTATTAAGGGAGGGGACGGTGCCTCTGGGAGACAGAGCCTCAGAGCGGCTGCCATTAGGTGGGCCACGCAGGGACACGCTGTCCCAGGCTGAGGGGAGAGGGGGGCTGAGTGCGTTCCGATGAGGTGATGTCACAGCCTCCCACCCCAGCCCTCTCGCCCTTGGCCATGCCTGGTGGTTGCCCGGGAAGGACCGAGAAAGGCCACTGTGTCCCACGCCCTGGACCTTTCTGCCCGGTCCTGGGAGAGGATGAGAAGGAAGAGGTGCCAGCAGGGAGCAGGGCTGTGGGCCGTGTGGGAGGTGCCAGCCAGCCTGGGATCCGGCTGTGGGCCTCGTGGACCAGGGCCCCTCGCCCACGGCTGCCTTGTTCGGCTCCAGGGTTTCTGATGGGCTCGGCGGAGCCAGGGAGGCGGGAGCTCACGCCCCCGCTCAGCTGGCAGGGACAGAGACCCCAGCTCAGCCTGGCGCCCAGGGACTCATGTGACTCAGACCCTGGCATCCTGTTCGGAGAATTTAACCCCTTGCAGCCACGTGCATACGGGGACTCACAAGGCCATGCTTCCCTGAAGCGTGGTTTTTCTCTTTTTCCCCCCCCGAACACGGTGATGAGCAGTTGGATTCTAGGCACTCAAGGTAAAGTTCAAAAACATAAGGAGTTTAGTTCTTTCTGTCCAAGGGCTGTCCCAGGGATGCGTTAGGCGAGAGTCGGGCCCGGGCAGTGCCAGGCGGGACCATGTGGGTCTGCTTGCTCTGGAACGGTCCCTCAGCTGCAGCCTGTCCCCTATGCCTCCGGGTCAGATGGGAATTTGTGCCGTGACAGCTAAGGAGGCCCGGATGTCAGTGTCTGCCTGGGGTGGTGAGGGTGGTGGGTGCAGGACTCATTCTTGAGCCCTGAGGCCATGGAGGTGATGGGGACGCAGCCCTGGCCCCCGGAGCTCCCTGAGGGCTGGCGGGGACAGACAGACAGGCGACAGCCTCCCTCTGAGGCCCTGGTCACCAGCATAAGGAAATCCCGCGACTGGTCTCTTGCCCCCGTGAGGACCAGCCTGACTGCAGACAGTGTGTGGACTGTGGGGCGTCCCCTGTTTCGACTTTCAATCTGGGGCTCATGGTGGGTACCCCACGATGTGAATCCTGCTGGGATGGTGCCTCAAGGGCATGGCCCTCAGCGTCAGGGACAGCGGGCGCCCCCGTGGGCTGCTCTGGAGGCCCCGTCCTTTGAAGCCCGCTCCCCCAGGTCCTCTGAGGGTGAGCCGTGCATGTGCCGCCTGGTTTATGTTCTCAGTCAGACCACCCACGCTCCCTCTCCAGCACGGGTGGAAATTGGCCAGCCGGTCCCCTGTGATACGGTCGGCCATAAACAACATGTCCCGGTTTTATAAACAGGCACACATGATAGGATGTGAGAAAGGCCGTAACGGGCTGTGGTGAAGGCTGGGGGCTGGCTGTCCCCAGTGGGCACGGGGTGGGGGCGGGGGCTGGGCCTCCAGGGCTGGGGGAGAAGGGGTTCCAGGCCTGGGGCGGGGGGGGCACACAAGGCTGAGGCTTAAAGGGCCTGTGGCTTGTTTGATGGAACTTCTAAAAACCAAGTGTGGCTTCCTTCCAACTTCGTTTTCAAAGTAAGAGCCTAAGCTTGGAATAAAAGTTTCCTGGTTAGCACACAAGCAAAGCTCCGTGGAAAGGAAGTTCCAAGCCGGGCACCCGCTCCTGATGGCTGCTCCGTTCTCTGTGCGATCCTGGCGGCCCGGCTAAGCTCATTGCGATGGAATTAAGCCCATGTGGAGAAGTACAGAAACATACAGGACAAATCAGACTTTATGTCATTTTTATTGAGAACCCCATCAAAATAGTGAACGTTTATGGAGTCCACTCCAGGAGTGACACCAAGGATTATTCCAGAATGGCACCACCTAGCCCTCTAGAACAGCGGCCGCCAACCGGACCACTGGCGGTCCGTGAGGTCCGAAAGGTTGGCGACCGCTGCTCTAGGAAACCTGGTGGGTTTATCGCTATTTTCAGGTAAAGACAAGGAGAAGAGTGGGTGGGGGAGCCCCCTAAAGGAAGCCAGGCTCCGCCTCTAGGCCTCCTGCACACCTACTGTGCGCCACCACGCACTGGTTGGGCTCTCTGTGGCAGCTGGGAGGGGTAAGCACTGTGTTTGTCCTCCATGGAGCCCCTTCATTCCTTCCTTGGTGCATTTGTTCAGCAGATATTTGTTCTGCACCCGCTAAACAGTACCAGGCACCCTGTACAGGTGGCGGCTCCAGTAATGAGCAAGACAGGCTCTTATGAATGTTGTATTGTGATCTATGAGGGAAGACCCCACATGTGTAAATACGTTTTCATGTCCCATTAAAGTATTGTCACCACAGTAACTAACTTCGGGAGGGAAGTGGTGAGCCAAGGGCTTCCTGTCTCCTGCGGCGCAGAGAAAGCACCCTGAGAAATCCTGGGGGAAGATCGGGTTCTCCTGGAAGCCCCCGGAGGGCTGCCTGGAGGAGGTGGCGTTTCGGCCGGAAGTGTGACAGGACTGGCTCATGCTTAGAAGGGAGGAGTGTGGGTTTGTGTCTGGCTGCCATGGTGGTGAATGAAGCCACACTTCATTTTCAGAAGTTCCATCTGAGTTCTGCCACCGCCCTCCCTCTGCTGAGTACGTCCCACCCTTTCTCAGTGCTCGCTCTTGTCTGTGGTGGGCTGTTTCTGTTTCCCACGACCCGCACGGGAAAACGACAGGTTCTTGAGCGGAGGAGCTGGGGATTAAGAAATTAAAGAAAAAACGAGATGCAGAAATAGATTTTAAGCTGGGGCCAGGTGGGCGCCATCCTCTCTGATGGAGAGGCGGCAAAAGCGGCCTGAGACACACAGCAGGTTTATTTTAAAGGCCTAGATTTACATATCTAGTTCCGCCCCTGCCTGATTAACATGTCCAGCCTTATTGGGGAAGCATGTTCCCAGGGTGTGGCTCTGCCTAAGCTCTGAGTTCAGCTGATAATAATTATAAGAAAATGCCTAGGTGCCTCCCAGGCAGCCCTCTACATCTCCCCCGTTTTTGTTTTTTAAGCTACTATGATAAAAGTAAAATTTTAAACATTAATAGTAGGGCTCTAGAATTAAAACAATTGCAAACAATGAAAATGCAAAAACTACCCTACATACATGTTATCATTTTCAAAATTTGAACGTTAAGAACAAAACTGGCTATTAAATAATAACAAAACAATGCCAATGCAAAACAACAATATGAGAAATCAGAACTATGGACATATTAACATTTTTGCTACTAAATGAATAAAAAGTCTGTTTTGCTGCTGGTGTATATTTACTCAGAGTCCTTGGACTTTGCTGCGCAAGACTTTGCAGAAGACTGGCAGCTAACAGATGCTAGCATGAGCAGGAACATGGTTGAAGAAGTAGCTTCAACTTCTTGCTTTTCCACAATCTGTTGTGCTTCAGTCGTTAACTTCTTCAGATGACTCCATATTGGCACAACAGTCCCTTGCGTCTTTCAGTTTTCTTCTTCCCCTTTGCTGTCATTAGGGCAGTACTTAGTCCTTTTGAGTGAATGGACACAGGAGCTTGTCTGAGTCCATTGTGGTGATAGATGTAACGCTCTGGCACCCGAATTGGCTGCATTGCTTCTTCTTCCTTGCTCTTGGTCCTGGGCAACCTGCAGCAATGCACAGGTGCTGACTGCTATCATGACAAGGCGTCCTCACCATCTCCATCTTTGAACTGTCTCTCCTGTCTTTGTGGCTGGAGCAATCTGATCAGTTGGGATCTGATGTTGCAGGAATCCACATGGTCTGGGAGCTGTTCTTCTGAAAATATACAAACATATTCTCGACCAAAGGTTAAAGGGAAAACCTTACTTGGGGTCTTTTCTTTAAAATGATCTTCTCCTGTCTTTCCCTGACATCATGTGTTTTTTCTGGGTGTCTCGCTGTTAGCATTAAATGAAAAATTTTATCTAAATGTAATTTAGTTATAGGATATTTTTCTTTACATGGTATTTTTCCACTATCCCCCCTTTTTTATTTAATTATTAGGAGGATTTTTGGAAAATTTACAATGCAGTCTAGATAACTTTAAATTCCAACTTTTTGCACAAAAATATGACTGCTTTACGTTCATAGCATGTTAAGCAATTTTACCATGAAATGAAAATTTTGGTTAATACCTTTTGAATAATTAATTATTTCAAATTAGCCAAATTTAATTTGAAAACTTGACAACTATTTTACTGTCAAATTTAATATTTTAACAATAATCTTAATTTGCACTGTAAATATTAATTGAAAGGATCAGTTTACGTCT